TCTGCCCCCAGTGGGTGAGGTTGGTTCAGTGGCTTGTGTAGGCTTCCTGATGGAGGGGACTGGTTCCTGTGTTCTAGTCGGTGGGGCTGGATCATTTTTTTCTGATGGTCAGTGCCACATCTGATCGTGTGTTTTGGGATGTCTGTGAACCTAGTATGATTTTAGGCAGCCTCTCTGCTAATGGGTGGCGTTGTGTTTCTCTCTTGCTAATTGTTTGGCATGGGGCATCTGGCACTGGATTTTGCTGGCCGTTGGGTGGAGCTGGGTCTTAACTTTGAGACAGAGATCTCTGGGAGAGCTTTTACTGATTGATATTACATGGGACTGGGAGGTCTCTGTTGGTCCAATGTTCTGAACTTGACTTTCCCATCTCAGAGTCTCAGGCCTGAGCACCAAGATCCTGTCAGCCACGCAGCTCAGAAGAAAAGGGAGGAAAAAGGAAAGAAAAAGAATAATAATAAAGTTTTAAAAAGTTTTTAATATAAAAATTATTTAAATGAAAAATAATAATAATTATAAAAAAATGAAGAGAGCAACCAAAACAATAAACAAACCCACCAATGATAACAAGTGCTAAAGATTAAACTAAGATAAACATAAAAATCAGAAACAAATCAGTTGCAGACAGCAAACCCCAAGTCTACAATTGCTCCCGAAGTCCACCGCCACAATTTTGGGATGACTCGTTGTCGATTCAGGTATTCCACAGGTGCAGGTACATCAAGTTGATTGTGGAGATTTAATCCACTGCTCCTGAGCCTGCTGGGAGAGATTTCCCTTTCTCTTCCTTGTTTGCACGGCTCCTGGGGTTCAGCTTTGGGTTTGGCCCCGCCTCTATATGTAGGTCTGGCATCTGTTCCCCACCCAGACAGGATGTGGTTAGAGTGGCAGCTTATTAGGGGGCTGTGGCTCACTCAGGCCGCGGTTCGGGGAGGGGCGGAAGGTGTATGGAATGCGGGGTGAGCCTGCGGTGGCAGCAGCCAACCTAAAGTTGCAACAGCCCGAGGTGCGCCGTGTGTTCTTCCAGGGAAGTTGTCCCTGGCTCACGGGACCCTGGCGGTGACGGGCTGCACAGCCTCCCGGGAAGGGAGGTGTGGAGAGTGACCTGTGCTTGCACACAGGCTTCTTGGTGGCGGCAGCAGCAGCCTTAGCGTTTCATGCCCGTCTCTGGGGTCTGCGCTGGTAGCCGCGGCTCGTGCCCATCTCTGGAGCTCGTTTAGGCGGTACTCTGAATCCCCCCTCTTGCGCACCCTGAAACAATGGTTTCTTGCCTCTTTGGCAGGTCCAGACCTTTTCCTGGACTCCCTCCTGCCTAGCTGTGGTGCACTAGCCCCCTTCAGGTTGTGTTCACGCAGCCAACCCCAGTCCTCTCCCTGGGATCCAACCTCCGAAGCCCGAGCCTCAGCTCCCAGCCCCTGCCCGCCCCAGCGGGTGAGCAGACAAGCCTCTCGGGCTGGTGAGTGCTGGTCGGCCCCAATCCTCTGTACGGGAATCTCTCTGCTTTGCCCTCTGCTCCCCTGTTGCTGCGCTCTCCTCTGTGGCTCCAAAGCTCCCCGCCCCCCACCCACTGCCTGCCTCTGCCAGTGAAGGGGCTTCCTAGTGTGTAGAAAGTTTTCCTCCTTCACAGCTCTGTCCCAGAGGTGCAGGTCCCATCCCTATTCTTTTCTCTCTGATTTTTCTTTTGCGCTACCCAGGTACGTGGGGAGTTTCTTGCCTTTTGGGAGGTCTGAGGTCTTCTGCCAGCATTCAGTAAGTGTTCTGTAGGAGTTGTTCCGCGTGTAGATGTATTTTTGATGTATTTGTGGGGAAGAAGGTGATCTACACATCTTAATCCCTCCATCTTGAAGGTCCCGTTGTTCTTGTCCCTTTCTAATCATGACAGCCTAAATGTTGATCTTTCTAAAATGACAATCTAATCAAACCCCTCATTTGCTTAAAACTTTCCAGTTGTTCCCCATTGTCACCAGAATGAACAAACTCTTAGCATGGCATATAAGGCCCTTTGTGATCAGGCTCTAATAACCTGTGCTGTCGCGTGCCTCACTGTTATATTTCATCCACCTCATCCTCTTCCCTCTTGTCCATCGCCCCAACCTCTTCTCTTTCTACCGACGAACTTTCCAGCCATATTGAACTATGTGTAATCTGTTGGTCTGGTCGTGTTCTCTCTCATCTGATGGTCTTTAGACATGCTATTCTCTCTGCCTAGAATGTTTTCTTTCCATACTCCTCTCCTGTGAGTGACCAAGTTTTACTTAGTCTTTAGGGTTTTGTATAGAGGCCACCTTCCCCTGGAAGCCTTCTTATATCCCTAAGATTGGGTTAAGCGCCCCTTTTAGATTCTATCTTGATACCTTGTGCTTATAAATGTTCTAACATTCCTCATAATATATTCAGATTACCTGTTTGCTCACCTATATCCTGAGCTACAGTGAATATTCTTGAGGGAAAGAACTGAATATTGTTCTCTTGTGTTTTCCCAGCATTTAGTATAATATCAATATAACAATACTCTATAAACAGTTCCTCAGTGAATCTTTGGATGGAAAGTTTGGGACCAAATGTGGAAAGTGTTGAGTGAATATCAGGCCAATTTGTTGAACTTCTTAATACTGCCACCAGGAGAGTCTTTTACAAAGGACTCAATCGTGATGGCAGGTGGTAGCATCCTTCTCCATCTTGGTTACTCAGTGAGGCAATATTCCCCGATTGTGCAGTCGTGGGGCACTTACATAAAATAAGTAAATATGTGCCTTTGTACAAAATTAGATTCTATCTTGAAGAGATTAAAATGCAACCTTTATTGGGTACCTAAGATTTAAGAAAAGTTCTGAGAGATAAAACTTAAAATTCATAAAATTCCGTCACGAGATTTTTTTCTGTTAATAGAGAAGTGCTATCATTGTCTTAATTTTAGCTTTTTCATCACCTTGGCCCATATTGCAGAGCACCTATATTATATGGAGTCATACGACTTCCTAGATGTCAAGAATAACAGGAAAGTGGTAGATATTCTTGACAGTTTGAAATATCATTCTGGCAAACTGGGGCCAGGAGCTGCGTTAGAAGTGTACGTGCAGTAAAGGCAGGTCTGTTATCCATTTTAGGTCCATAATGTGTGCACAGCATTGTGCTTGGTGGTTTGGGAGATGCAGAGTTATATGAAACATACTTCCTACCCTCAAGGAGCTAACAAACTTGCTGAGGAGAAGGGAAATGCACCAAAATGCTTATATTTAAAGATAACTTGTGAGAAGAGACACATAGGTACTGGCAGAAAATAGAGCATTGGATCTCTTTCTTTCAAGGGGTTTACATTTTTATGATCTACAAAACTTGGAGCTTTACATATTATATTTACATAGCTAAGTATGAGAGTAAAATTTTCAAATACATGTACGAATGAAGTATGAATTTCTACGTGTTTTTCTCAAGGAGGCTTTCCATATCTGTGTACCTTTTTCGTTTACGGCAGGAGTTGTTAACCCAAGGTCCGTGGCCTCCTTGACATCTTTCTGCAGAATTTGGTGGATATGTATGTGTATATAGTTTCCTGAGGAAAGGACTGATGGCTTTCAACAGATTCTTTTTATTTTATTTTTTTATCTTTTAAAAACATTCTATTAGAATCTTTAAGGATTCTGTGACTGAGAAGAAATTCAGAACCATTGTATAGAGAGTGCGTTCACAGACTTGTCTCAGCTTTACAATATCTTTCTTTCCACCCCCATTTCAATCCATTCTCATTTAACAATTGGCTATAGCATAGCCAATGAGTAAATGCTTTTATTTGTTGAGTGAATTAAATTAAAGTTTATATGCCATGTTCTTAGTTTTAAAAACAGGCAAGTTCAACATATTATTCAGAATGAGCCCTGACTGCCCTTCACTGAACACACGCCAGTGAGGGCACCTGGCAGTACACTTCATTGTTTAATTCATTTAACACTCTGGCCCTTCATGAGTGATAGCTATTATTATCCCCATTTTACAGACAAGGAAGCTGAGACTCACTGAGTATCTTCCTAAGCCTGCCCCCTAGTAAGTTATAAAATCAGTTAATACTCTGTCTTGAATCTGAAGCCTCTGTTCCCTTTAACTAGTATGTTATACAGTAATATGATTTATAAACTGTTTTGTTTCTTCCCCTCAAAAACCAAACAAACAAAAAACCCTCTTCTACGTTGCAGTTTGTTCTTGACAATCCCTGGTGTTTTGTGTTTTTTTAATGTCAAAATGCCTTTGGCAGTAGATGAGCTTTTGTAGCTTAATGACCATTGGCTTAGGTATACAAACGGTTAGCTTGATCTTCAACATAAAGGAATACGTATTAATTAAAATCTAGATCATTTCATCAGATTTAGAAGTAATATTGAGCTATTTTTAAAATTGCGTGACAAACTTATGTGAAGAATTTACCAGTACTTGACGTCCTTGTCTGCTATTGGTACACCAGAATGTGGAGGAACAAATATGCTTGTCTGGGGCAGTGGCCGTGTGGAGTGGAGACTTTTGAAAACTACACAATCTACCTTCTCCATCCCTCATGCCTGTTGATAATCATTGCCTGTGATGAGAAGTGTTATTGATGAAGCATTTCGCATATGAATTCTGTTAGATGCAGAAGAAAGATGAAGAAATACCATCTTAACATTATTTGGAAGCATCTTCATTTTGCAGAATGCTGAGTAGGGAGAAACATTGTTTGGAAGTTTAGAATCACTATTATGTTTTGAAATTATATACACTTATTTAAATATAGTTATTATGTAATTACAACACTTTAGAATATGGTATAAAATATTGTAGCCTAACTTATCTCTTTAAAGCACATGGCTAAACAAACTGTAAACTTGAGATCTTTTTATAGTCTTACTCTTCAAAACCCCTTGTCAGTTAAAGTAAATCCAAAGTGGTTTATATTTTGAAGATATGCTTCAAAGGAAACATCACAAAAGTAAAATTACTTTATTGCTCTGCCTTTTATTTTGTAATTTTAGGTAAGGCACTGACATTTCTTCTGCTGCAGCCACCAAGCCCCAAACTTCCTCCACACAGTACGATCCGAAGAACAGCCATTGATCTGATTGGACGTGGTTTCACAGTTTGGGAGCCTTACATGGATGTGTCTGCTGTCCTGATGGGGCTTCTTGAACTTTGTGCTGATGCCGAGAAACAACTTGCCAAGTACACGCTCCATTTCAGTTCATTTGGCTTTTATTGGTTTTGCTTGTTTTGTTTTAGTAGAGGTCATTGATTACTCTTTATAAATTGCATATGGAGAAAAAATAGACAAATATCTCAATATATGAAATTTTGGAAATAGACAATGAAAGGGAGATATGTTTCTGTCATTTTAACACAATTGGGATTTAGCTTTGAGCCAATGAGTGATTTATCCGTGGCATAGTTTTAAATATATGTTTATTGTGCCTTGAGATATCATCAGCTAATAATAATATAAACATATCACATATAAGGAAAATGATATATACAGTTGCTCAAAAATGTTTTACTGATACAATACCTGGCCAGTTTGGGGAATTACTCCTTTGCACTCGTGTTAATTTTTAAACCAACTTTATTGAGGTTTCATTTGCACACAGCAGAGGATCAGCCATAAGGAGGTTGCAGTGGTCCAGGGAGGCAGGGATGAGAATAGAGGAATCCAAGGCAGTTCCTAAAATGAAACTGGGGCTGGTGGTAGAGGTTAGTATTGACTTGAGAACCCAGCCTCCTGATTCCTGGAGGGAGTCTTTTTTGTTTTGTTTTGATGGTATAATACACATCTAACAGGAAATTTACTACTGTATCCCTCTTAAAGGATACAATTCAGCAACATTCTCTGCATTCACAGTTATGCAGCCATCACCACTACCTAGTTCCCAGTATCAGTCACCCCAAATGGAAACTCCATACCCATTGAGCAGTCCCTTTCCATTCTCCCCTCCCACGGTCCCCTGACAATCAATAATCTGCTTTCTGTCTCTGTGAATTTGCCTATTCTGAATATTTCATATAAATGGAATTATACAGTATGTGGCCACTTAGCATAATGATTCCAAGGTTCATTCATGTTGCAGCATTTTTCAGTACTTTGTTTCTCTTTATAGTTGAACAATATTCCATTCTGTGGATATACCACATTTTATTTACCTATTCATCTGTTGATGGCCATGTGGCTCGCTTCCACTTTGTTTGAACACCTAGTTTTCACTTCTCTTAGGTAGATACCTAAAAGTGGAATTGCTGGGTCATGTGGTAATTCTGTGTTTAGCCTATCGAGGAACCCCCAAACTGTTTTCCGTAGCAGCTGCACCATTTTATATTCCTACCAGCAGTGTAGGAATTGTCTTTGCATCCTCGCCAACATTTATCTTCCGGTTTTGTTGTTGCTTTTTTAGTATAGTCATCCTAGTGAGGGTGAATTCCTAGTGGGAGGAATTCTTGAACTGTCCCATGATGCCTCTCTTAATGTACAGGCAGACCTCATTTTACTGTCCTTCACTTTGTTGCGTTTCACAGATGCTGTGGGTTTTTTTTTTTTTTACAAATCAAAGGTTTATGGTAACCCTGCATTGAGCAAGTCTTTTGGCACCATTTTTCCAACAGCATTTGCTCACTCATGACTCTGTGTCTCATTTTTGTAATTCTAGCAATATTTCAAACTTTTTTATTACTATATTTGTTATGGTTGTCTGTAGTCAGTGATCTTTGATGTTATTTTTGTAATTATTGTGACTTTTTTAGCAATAAAGTATTTTTTAATTAAGGTATGTACATTGTAAAAATACTTAATGATATTGCACACTTAATAGACTACCGTATAGTATAAACGTACTTTTTATATGTTTACTGGGAAGCTAAACAATTTGTGTGCATCGCTTCATTGTGATACTCGTTTTATTGCGCTGCTCTGGAACCGAACCTACAGTATCTTTGAGGTCTGCCTGTAAGTGTTATCACCTCTTTGATTTTTTCAGTGAATGGCATTTCATGCCTATCATTGATAACCTTTTAAAAAACTAGGGTTCTCTGCCCTTTTCTTCATGGTTGCCTCTCTCATATCCCGCAGTTGCCTTATATTCTAGCGTGCTTTGGGCCTGTCGTCTTTCTGCTGGCTGCTCTATGCTCAGAAGTGGAGACCAGAGAAACAGCTGAAGGCTAGACTGGAATGCTGTGACTTTGTCCACAGATTGGGCATCCCTAGCCCAAAGTCCCAAGATTGACTGGTAGGGGAAGGGTATTCATTTCAAACCTAAGCAGCTGTCCTCCCCCTTCACCTGCTTCATACTGCCACACTTCCTAAACTTCAGCTCTGTGTCTCCCTAGCTATATACCCTTCAGTAAATTACTTCACCTCTCACCTCAGTTCCATTTACAAGTTGGGGCTAATTAAATACCTACTTCATAAGATTGATGTTAAGTGAGTTTATATTTGCCAGGTGCTTAGAAGAGCACTTAGCACATGTTAAGAGATTGAATGGATGTTCCCTATATTGCGGGGGGGAGGGGGTATGGATGGTGATGCCATTGTCATTGTCCTAGTGTTCAACAGGTAGAAGAGATGCCCGTTTCTAGAATAAACACTTCCACATAGTGACAATCAGGATAGTTTCTGGATGGATACAGGTGGCCTGAAGGTTCTCGATTGACTTAAAGGATTAGGAGGGAATGTGAGCCCATGAGTTGGCAGCAGTCGTAAGAGGCTGGCCTTTGTGCAAAGCCTGGAACGTATTTTCAACCTTTTACCCTCCGCTTGGCTGCAACTGCCATGGACACCCTCCAAGGAGTCAACAGAGTGGCTTCTTTTACCTCAGCTCTCCTGGTTACCTTGAGAAGCCTTTAATATTTTTGATTGTCCAGAATTTTACTTTGACCTAATTTTATAGCCTATTTTCAAATCTGATCAAAAACAATTTCAATAGTATGCAGTCTCGTTTTGTTGCCTGGGAGAAGTAATGGGTTTCTATTTTAGACTAACCATCTCACATTTTGTTTTATTTTGTGTTTAAATAAGTTCACATGAAGCTTATATCAGCAAACATAAAGATGTGCTGTGTTTTATCTACATGGAGTATGTCCACAGACACCAATACTTTAGCTTTCAGTAGGTAATTTAAATCTTGCTATTACATCCTTTTCTGTCATGAAGATTAGTATAACTCTCTACACACAGCTCTGAATAAATGAATGTATCAGCGTGTAGCCTTGAGGAGTCCAATGTAATTTTCATCATGATAAATTGTATAATAAGCAAGAAAATGTTTGCTTATTAGTCTATAACAAGATTTAGATTGAAAATGACCTGTTACATCCATGACACACTTGGTACAGGCTGCAGAAGGACTGAGATGGGGCGAGATAGAGCAGCAGGGTGACTGTGCATCTTACCCTCACAGTGCCTGTGGGGCCGCCCTTCTGTGCCCACTTCTCTGTGCACATGATAACACCGCTTGGCCGCCTTGCTGCCGACAGTGATCTTAAGCTTGCTTTATGGAGAAGCTTTTATATTAGGCTTGTGCTTTTTAAAAAGAAAAAAACATAAGCAGTGTTTCCTTCTTTATTTCAATTCCTGTGAGTTTATGAAGGAGGGGGTTCAAGGTAGGGCAGCTCGCTCAGGTTGGTATCTAGTTCTGAGGCATACATGTGATAGCAGAGTTTCTCTCTTTCCTTCTCTCCCCTGTGTTGACATCCTCTGTCAGAGATAACTCCTGAGAGGCCTCCTGAAAAACTGTATATGGCTCAAGACTAATAGAGCATTTTCCCAGAATTAATAATGCTTTTTTTTTTTTTTTTTTTTGTGGTACGCGGGCCTCTCACTGTTCTGGCCTCTCCCGTTGCGGAGCACAGGCTCCGGACATGCAGGCTCAGCGGCCATGGCTCACGGACCCAGCCGCTCCGTGGCATGTGGGATCCTCCCGGACCGGGGCACGAACCCGTGTCCCCTGCATCGGCAGGCGGACTCTCAACCACTGCGCCACCAGGGAAGCCCAATAATGCTTTTATTTTAGAAATATGGCTTAGAATTTTATATCTTTGGAATCAAAATAAAACCAGCTGTTTTCCAGTGTTTTCAAACATTTTGCCCAATTTTAAACTACATTTATTAAGTAAGCAAGCATCTATTGAGTAGCTAATATGTGGAAGGGACAGTGTTAGGTACTATATGTAGTGACAAACTTTCATGAAACAAAGACCCTTCACGTGACTTGCAGTCTTACAGGAAAGATAAGATCTTACAGGAAAGAAGGAGAGTAAAAGGTATGGACATTCAGAGCATGGCAGATGAACCACAGGGGTTACCCAGACAGTACCCAAGGAAGAATTTCATCTGAATCTTTCCTCTGAATGATTGTGAGGAGAGGTGGGGAAGAATAACTACAACGTGCAAAAGGACAGACGGGAAAAGCCCAGGCACACCCCAGAGAGGCTGAGGGACAGCTGCACACATAGGGACATGAAACTAAGCATTGTTTTTAGCTAATTTTATTTATTAATTTCTTGCAGAAATTAAACCCTGGGATGCTCCAGTCAAAAACTTGAACATAATTGCCTTACTCATTATCTCTGGGGAATAGAATTGGGTTCAAAGAGAGGATTGGTTTTACCTTTTTCTTTATTAAAAGAGTGTAAAAATGACTGTAAAAGATCATAAAACGAATCTGAGACAGGTGCTTTCTCTTGTCCAGGAAAAGGTGAGGTTCAAACCCAGGTCTCACTGACACCAAAAGCCACGCTCCCACCCCTGTGCCATCTTGCATTTGAAATCTTATACCCAGAGAATTAAAGACCAACAGAGTACTAAATTCAAAACAACCTATTAAAAGGACCTAAAAGAGGTCAACTCAGAATTTTCAGCTTTTTAAAATCTATGTAATGAAATCATTTTCATCAAGAATTTTGTGCCTTCTGGAAACTAGAAGCCCATTTAAATATCAGTAAACTCCTTGACAGCTTGGGCCATGTTTCGATACTATGTGTTTATTCTTATGTATTCAAACACCTGTTATATGATTTGCCTTGTTATTTGCAATAAACATTTAATAAAGTCCTAGAATTTTAGAGACAAAAGTCTTCTTCAACAGCATGCAATCCAGTGCCCTTAATATGCTATTAAGTAAAAATAAGTTGTAGAGATTAAACAACTTGTCTGAGGTTACACTAGTCCTGTGAGAGCTAAGACT